GGAATGAATCTCTTCTCCTGAACTAGCAATTTGTCAGCAATTACTTCTGAACCATGAAAAGTGAAACATTATTCATTTAGAGTTGTCAGCCTCACAGAAATATTCCATGTTGAGCAGTTTTTCACAAAGCAATTTTTAAAGGATTAAGTCCAAAGGAGTAGTTTCTGGAATTTATCCCCATTCATTGGAGATCGTGCATTTCTTTGAGTACAACAGTGAATTTCTTCTAAAAGCATGGTATGTATTTATCAGATTCCTGTGGTCAGTTTTATGACAATGGAATATATATCTGTCAGGACATAACATATGTTTGTAGGCATGGCTAAAAAAAAAAATTGAACAAGCTTGCTGTAAAGCTCTGTGAGCTTGGCTTGCAGCTTGAGGGCAGGGAGCAAGAGGGATGGGAACAGTCACTGTTACTCCTGGAGAGCCCCTCCCCTTCCAGCAGCATAGCATGGCTGTCCTACACCCTCTCCAGCTACAGCAGCTAGTTTGGCTTTCTAAAACTCAGGCATAGCAAAATAGACAAAGGGCTGTCTTTTTCTGCTGTCCCAGCAACCTGCTGCCCTAATTATGTGCTTATTTAGCCCGTGCCTACAACTTGTGCTGGCTCATAACCATGTGATCAAGGCTGTCCCTGGGGGATTTTAATTGATTAAAGCATCTCTTGATTATTTGGACAAGAGATGCAGGAAGGGAAATAATAGATTAGAAAGTATTTTGGTTCAGCTTCAGAATTAAATTCTTATCTGTTTCAAGACTGCATGAGAAGATGTGGACCACAAAACTATTAGTAGCACAGGGTCATATATATGAGACAGAAGATTCAAAAGCTGAATCTAAGACACATCATTAGCTTTACTGCTGCCATAAAGGAATAAAAACATAAACCAGCAAGTAGCTGTCTAAGGTAGTTCGAAGAAGCTATCAGTGAAACTCCGAAAGAGAAGAGGCAATGTCTGTATCCAGCCGTTATTCAAAACTCAAAAAAGAGGGACAAACTGAATTTCTCATGCCATAGGTGTGAATTTGCTTTACAGGTTTTTTTTTTTTGTCTGTGATGACAGAAAACTATAGGGCAGTAGATGCTTCCAAAGATTATTAAAAATTAGTTTTGCAACTGTGTAAAAGAAACAAAAAACTGCATTCTTGATCTCTGAGGAGAATTACATGTGACATTCTTCAAAAGGTAGATTTCAGCTGTGATTTGTGACTTCCTTCCTTGAAAACCTAGGGAGCTATCTTCCTAAATTTGACAATTAACAAGGTATGCTGCTATAATCATAGAATCATACAGTCATCTAGGTTGGAAAAGGAGGTCTTTGGGAGCAGAAACTTAGTGAATGAAGGGTCTTTGTCAACACTGATGAAAAGTCCTGGGAAGAAAGTGTCCAGGAATATTGATGGAAATGATGAACTGAGCTAAAGGACTTCACGCCCTTCTGTTGACATCAACACGAATGGTAAAAAAGGTAGTGAAAGCTTAGGAGGAAAGGGAGAAGCTGTTTGTTTACTGGACTTTGCAAAGAATGCACAGAAACAGGAGACAGACCTCGCTCCTGTGAGCTTGCAAAATACCACGCAAGAAACCAGACTCATCTTACTGCAGCTGCCAGTATCTTCTTACCTCCATTTTTACATTAGCACTTCTCTCCATTTCACCCTACTGCTGTCTCTTCAGAGAATATTTTGAGGCCTCTTAATATTCCAGCATCAAATGCTGTATGAGCATTACACAAGGAGCAGGTGCAGTTCTGTGGTCTCTTGAGATGTATAATCATCCATCCCCTCTCCTGATGTTGCTGCTGTCACTCTATAGGGAAATGGAGCAGTATCTGCTGTGTATCCTATGTAAATGTGATACCATAAATGCATTGCAGAAATGTGTCTGCAACAAACACTTTATTCATGTCCATAATATTTTCTAGTTTCTAGAGATTTGCTATTGATCATAGCAACTGGTATTAATCTATGAATCTGCCAATATCAGTCACTGTCTTTTAACTCCACTTATTCATGCTCAATGGTAGCAAACGCAATGAATGTTTCCTTTGGGCTGTTGGCAGTCCAGCTCATTTGTCATTTTTAAATGGACCCCTGGGGCTGATTCTGTCCAAGCAAAACAAATCAATACAGTTAGTTACACTAAATGCATTCAAACAAGAATACTTGAAGGGGGAGAAGAAAAAGTTGCTGCAGCAAAGGAAATGATGGAGAGGTACACATGCTACAGGCTTGGCAAAGGCTAGGGAAAATGGCAGCAAGTTTAATCTATGCCTTTGCAGTGAGGAAGGGATTGAGGATCAGGTGAAGGAAACTATAAAAGGGAGGATAGGACTGAGGAGGAAACTGAAGAAAGGCCAAAGAGGTAAGCTTAGGAAAAAAAGAAGATAAAGTAGTGGATTTAAGATGGACCCCCAGGGCTGAAGCAGAGGAACCGATGAAACCAGTTACCGTGCCACAGACACTGGGCAGGCCTGGAGAGGAATCTTGTTTCTAGTTCATTTAATTCAGGACCAGTGTTCTGGACTTTGAAGCAGCTGGGGGATTTTATAGCCCATATCACTTATGCTGCTATCATGGCTTTAGTGTGGCAATAACAGTCACAAGAAAAGCAGCTTGTGCAACAGCCCAGTGCTTGGAAATGGTGCAGAAAGAATCTCTTCTGTCTGGTTTTATAGAAGTAGATAATATAGAAGGTAGGGTTTGTTTTCTTTGCAAGCATTAAATTTTAGTCACTGGTGGGGTTAGTTGTAGGCCTGGCTGAAGTGGGTGTTGATGTTTGGTTTTTTTTTTTATTTCAAACTGTTCATGTTGGATGGTAGCAAAAAGAATACGCTTTTCTGTGGGGTAAGCAATCGAGCTAGCTTGTCATTTTAAATGGACACCTGAGACAGATTCTACTGCAGCAGAGCAGACCAATACAGTCAGTCGGACTACATGCATTAAAACAAATACATTTCGATGGGAGAAGAAAAAGATGCCACAGGAACAGAAATGACAGGAAAAAAGAAAGGAGTTACATGCAACAGCCATGGAATCAGGAGGGATGGGAGGCTTTGTGTTCACGTGCTAGAAATATCTGAACTGATCCACCAAGATCATGATTAAACCAGCTTTAATAATGTGTTGTCATCAAAAAGAGGAAATTACCTCCACTCCCAAAATGAGTAGACTATGGAAGGCTGCTTATAGATGTGTCACAAGGCTGCAGCTGGTTCCTTGTTCTCCTTTCTTTATTCAAAGGCCAAAGATACTGTAATCCATCAAGATCATTATGAGAAAAGAAATCAAAGAGGTGCATTTAGTTTTTTAGATTATGTGAGTCCGAACCCTAGAACAATAAGCAAATGGTGGCAAAGTGGTTGAAGTGTCTCAGTGTGATTCCAGAGCTCATGCCTCTGGCAAACCCATCCTGCATGCTGCAGGACGATCCTTGGCTGTAGCTGATCACACAGGTCGGACAGGTGATGGGAGCAGGAGGATCTCAGTGACGTTGCTTTTACGTATGTTTCCGGGTGTGTGCTAGCTCCACTGAGCAGCCTAGGTTTGGCGAGAACGCCAGCAAGACTGCAAAACAGGTGGTGCCAGTACGCTTGAACTTGAATGGAAAGGTAGCCCTGAGACCGGGGGGCTACTAATTTCGGAGGGCTGAGAAAAGGCCTCCTGAGAAAGCACTTGTTCCTTTTCCAAGAGGCGGGGATATGCCGTTCTTTCACCCAGAGTGTCACCTCTAGGCAAAACCCTCTTTCTGTCTTTGCTCTGGAAGGGAACTGAGGAGTACGATGTAGGGACAGCCAACACCGTCCTGCTGTATCAGCTGCAGGCAAAGCCCGATCTGCGCTTCCGGAGAGCGGAGAGCCGCTGGCGGGGGGGAAAGGAGGCAGACGCGCCCGTGGGGCGGCACTTTCTGCCGGCGGATGGTCGGTCCCAGCACGCCCGCCCCCCCCCATCCCCCGCCTCCGCCGCCGGAGCCTGTCCCACTGCGGCCGTGCGTGAGCCGGGCCGACGGGCAGGGACTGCACCCCGGAGCCCCCCCGGGCCCCCCCCCCCGGGGGCGCACAGCGCCCCGCGCCAGGCGCAGCCTCGCCCCGCGCCCCCCGGCTCCCCTCCTCATCTCTGGGGGCGGCAACGCGCCGGCTGCGTCGGCCTTCTTCTGCCACTTGAATCAATTCATCCGGATTTTCTACCTGCAGCTTGTTTGGTTGGGGCCGTTTGCGGGTTTTTGTTGGGTTTGTATTTTTGTTGGGCTTTTTTTTTTTTTTAAATCTATGTGGAAATACGGGAGCGGAGGGCGAGCAAGCCCCGAGTGACTCGCCACAACCCCCCTGCGGGGCGAGAGGCGCTGGCAGCCGCCACCTCCCCGCTCTCAGGGTGTCGTCCCGTCGCCGTCCCCCCCCCGCCCCGCTTTTCTCCTCAGCCCGGGACGGAGCGGGGAAGCCGCGGCTTACGGAGGTAGGTTGGGAGGCGGCGCGGGGCTGGCCGGCTGCGGGAGGAAGGGCGGCGGAGGGCCGGGGGACCCCCG